GCATAAAACACACAACAGCATAAAACACTACAATACAAACACAACAGTTTAACTATATATTCCGGCTGAGCAGGGAGTCCCAGGTGGTGCTGCTGGACCTGGATGGGCTGCCACTTAGGACCCTGGTGTCCTCTGGTGGTGGGCCATCCTCTTGGGAGGTCTCCAGAGCTACTTATCTCCACTGTCCACCGAATTGTCCATGGCGTGGGTTTGCAGGGCGGACGCAATGGACGGCTGCCATGTCACTAAGAAGTTTTCAGAAACAGAATAAGAAAAGATGAATAAAGACACATTTGCCAAATGATTTTCACCATAACAAATGTCTCTGCTCTACAATTGTTTTACATACCTTATACCTCCTCCAGGGCAGACACCTCTGCACAGAGTTGGTCCCGCCAAGGGGCACCACTGACTGCCTCCAACACATCCTCCCCCTCATCCTCCGCCACGTCCTCAACAATATCTGCATCGGGGTCCATGATGTCACCGGCTCCGATGCAGATATTGTGCATTACAGCACATGCTGTAATGACCTGAAATAGCAAAAGTGGCAATATGTTATAACCCCGGAAAATAAGTCATGTTAGGTCATTCAACTGTTTTTCTGTATTATACAAAATCCTGTTGAGTGAATACTTACTTGAGGAACGAAGGTGTGGTGCACGTCCAGCGCTTTCAGGAAGATGCTACGAAAGCGGGTCTTCATCATCCCGAAGGCACGCTCGATCATAGAGCGTGCCCGGGAGTGATGGCTGTTAAAGCGCTGGGGTCCCACACCTTGCAGCGGCTGTCTGTTCGGAGTGATGAGGGGGAGTGGATGTTGGAGGCAGGGGTACCCCCCGTCGGCGAGGATGTACTGCCCTGGAGGAGGGTAGAGTGCCCGTCGGTACAGTGGACTGTGGCGGAGCACTCTACAGTTGTGGACCGACCCAGGCCAGCCCACGTACGTGTCAATGAAGCGGCCCCAATGGTCACAAACTGCCTGCAGAATAATTGAGGGAAACAGCTTCCTATTTCTATAGCAGTGACCATCAGGGCCGCTTGGTGGCACGATGCGGACATGGCAGCCGTCGATGGCTCCAGCAGCTTTGCGGAAGGCTCTGTGTCTGGCCAGCCCTGCGAACCCACGCGACACAGCCTCCAGGTCTTCTGCTGTCCTGGCGAATGGCCACCACCTCCCCAGTGACCCTGTTGACAATCCGGTGAACAGTGGATCGAGGCATCCCAAACGCTCTGGAGACCACCCTGTAGGATGTCCCACATGCCAGCCAGAAGAGGAACACCAGGGTCTCGATGGTGGCACCCCATCCGGGTCTCCGTTCCTGACCCAGGAGGTCCAGCAGCGCGTTCAGGGACTCCCTGCTCAGCCGAAAATCTGGCCGTGTGTCCTGGTCATTAAAGAACCTGGTCATTAAAGAACCTGTCCAGGACGCGTCTATCTATTTTTCCAACCCAGTTTAGATTTAACCACGCCCACTTCCGCATTACGCAAGCATCGACGTAGCTCTACGTGATAGCGTCATAGACTTCATCTTCGGCAGTTATAGCTGTCGCGGTAAAGCAGAATATTGAATAGTTGGTTTGACTGAAAGTAAACGATCCTATAATCAAAGCCATATCGAAGAGTCCTGAGATTGTATTACTGGTGTTTTATCATCTATAAATAGCCTGTGTGTATCCTCAAATTTCGTTTTCAGGACAAACAAAAGACGTTTTAAAGATCTTATCAGCTGGTGTAAGTGCAGAATATTGACTATAACCTTAACTATTACTGTGTACTTCATTTATCTGACAGCATTATTTAATGATACTATTTTATATATATATATACACTTTTATTAATTCATTTATATACACACATACTGTTTTTATATATATACACACATTTATAAACATATATATATATATATATAAACACACACTTATATGTACTCACACGTGTATTTATTCATTTATACACAGATTTATTCATTCATTTATACACACACTCACATATACACTTTATATTAATTCATTTGTACACACACATACATATATATATATGTGTGTATAAATAAACACACACAAACAAAACAACACAATATAATAAACACAGTTGCAATAATCATTTGTACACACACACATAAATATATATATATATAAACAAAACAACACAATATAATAAAAACAGTTGCAATAATAATAACATAATATGATATGATCAATTCTACCCTTTTGTTTTTGCTCCCATATTTCAATTAAAAGATATTTGTCAAAATCAATATTGGTGGGGGCTCTTTTGCAAAGATTATCAATAACACCACCTGACAGTTGTTGCAGATTATACAGCATTACTTGTTACTTACACACATGTGCGATGGTCCCAAAAAAGCCAAAATCTGCACTGTAAAAAAATATATACATTTAGGCACTCTGAATAAGGGTTGACTGTAATAATCATGCCTTTTAATTGGTGTATATGTCTCACCAGGTGAAGGCTGGGACAGTGGGAGGGGTGAGGTAGGAGCAGGGGACTGCTGAATGCTGAGCTGAAGTCCCAGGATACAATCCCAAGTTGACTGCATGATCCACTTACCTGTTTGCATCAACTGCAGGAGGTCAAGCAGGGGTCATGTGATGTCCTTTAGGTTGGATCAACACCAGCCTCTGGAAAGATGTCATGACTGCAGAGGGCAGTGGACCTTTAGTCATGTCATACTGTGATGTAGGGTAATGGATTTGTATTAACAGGGAGGTTATATTTCAGCATTTGAGATACACCTTGAGGCCTGATTTGGTAAAAAGCCCACTTACCACGACAAGGTACATGACAAAGACATAAGGTGAAAAACAAATGAGAAAGAAAGGCATACACATATACAAACAGATACATAAAGGGTGTAGAGGGGCACTGAAGTGTCCTGCCTCTAAACAGAGGGGTGGGGGTGATGAGGAGTCAGAGGGTGTAGAGGGGCTCTGAAGTGTCCTGTCTCTAAACAGAGGGGTACAATAAATACATTAATGTTTTTTTGAATGGCTGGTGTTCAACACCACTGCCAAACTTAAACTGTGCTGTTTCACAGGGCGCCCAGAAAATAAACGCCGTCTTGAGCCAGCGCCTGACTTCCTGCGTGCAACAGCTGTAGGCTGGCAGCCAATCATCGGGCCTTGACGTCTGGAAGCCCGCCTTAAAATGGCGGCCCTTTTGCTGGTCAGGCTGCCAGACGTCCCAAAGGAATGGAAGGCTGACAGCAGGTTGGAGGCGTTGCTTCTCAGGACATTGTACTGCTTAGCCATTGCCAGTAGCCCAGCAGTGAAATGTGGATCCTGGCAACGACTTTTCATTTCCTCCATCATGTTATCCACAAGAGAGACGTCATCTGATGCGATATCTAAGAGGGAAAAATATTTAAATTAAAGGTTTATTTTTTAAGTTGATATTATACATATAGTAACAATTTATTAATTCATCAATCTATTAAGCACCAAAATGATGTGTGAACATAAACCTGCACACTCACAACTCACCTTCTTGTGGCCTATCACCAGTGACACTTCTGGAGGGCTGGACTTGTGCTGTCAATACACCTGTGAAGAGTAGCATATGATAGTATTCAGTTCATTGGTATTAACTATTTCAGTGCCTCTTTTCTGATGTTATGGTCCAAGGGGAAAGAAAAGTCTAGGTAAATATATATATATATATATATAGTGTGTGTGTGTGTGTGTGTGTGCGTGCGTGCGTGCGTGCGTGCGTGCGTGCGTGCGTGCGTGTGTGTGTGCGTGCGTGTGTGTGTGCTTGTGTTGTTCAGTTGAAATGTTCATAACAAACCTTCATCTTGTTGCTCCTGATGCGTACTGCTTGGTTCATGAGCGCCTACAGATACCAAGAGATACATCAATTATGTGTGTCCCACATGGTATTAGTGATGGACATGGATAATATAGAACTACTTTGTTATTTTGATTTAAAGTTTCAATTATTTTATATAATTACACCATTATTAATGTAAGTTTTGTGTATTACTTACTTCTAAACGACTGACATGATTGCCTTTCAAGTCTGAGGGGTTGGAGGAAATCCAAAGAGATGGTTTCTATAAAACATTAAGGGATCAACATTAATTAAAAACTAAACAGTGTATATCCTTTATCTTGTAATCAAAACATGAAATGTTGGCAGTCTCATTACACCAGTTATTGTTAAAAATATTGACTTTACCTGCCGATGTCAGTTTCATCAGCTCTGCTCTCATCTCTGGGTTCATTGGTAGAAAGGAGACAAACAGCTGTAATGTTTCATCACTGCTGCCTGGTGTTTGCAAGGCGCTCCTGTTTGTCCTGCAGGGCAAGAACACAGCTCCAAATCCATGGTTGCATTCGAATAGTCCATTTAGCTTAGGAACCTTCCTAACGGAGTGAAATGACCCGGAAGTCCCTCAGTGGCAGCCATGATAAGTGCCGTTCGAATTCTCTAAATTAAAAGGAAAGGAGGTTTCAAACTTCCTTTATAACCTCCTTTAGCCTAGGAACCACTGGACCTCCCTAACCGAAAGGAGAGGAGAACATGCTGCCCCACAATGCCTTGCGGCCGCAGCATTTGCCGTCACACAACAGTCGGCCGTTCACGGAAACAACCGATTATGAACGAGAAATTATATCATGAAAGTTACGGTGCTTATTAAGCATTTTAAAACGTATGTGGTAAGTTGCCAAAGTGCTTTGTTTTGAACGTTTATCCGTATTATAATCAAAAAGAGAAATATGAACGTTAGTTTTTACTGAAATGATCAAATAAAGTCAACATTTCACAGTCTTTACTGAGCTGTGTGGGGTTTGTTCAACTTTTAAAAGATGTTTGAATGGTGATATACACAGTGATTGATGTTAAGGACTAACGTTTATAATAAATATATTTGTATTGATTTTAAGATCTTTTCATACAATCATATGTATTGGGATCATTTGTATTAATGTGGACCGGAGGGAGAGGGTGACGAGCATAAGTTTCATTTTTGTAAGCTGGTAAGTCGGTTAGCGGCCCGGCTACGTTAGCCTTTGTTTAGTTAAAGGTATTTTTGAGTTTGTTAGCAATAAAGCCTCTTTTTGGATTTGAACACTGCCTCTGTCGTGATTGCTGCACTACCACTTTTCTCTTTATCTGCCCTGTCCTGTTACACTGGTGGAGAATGCGGGCATAAAGACTCTATTGGTGGTGTTGCAGTCAGAACAATTTTTTTTTACGTTTTCAAGATGGAGGATGTACTAAAGGAGTTGGTGCGTATTTCTACTGAGCAGCAGACTCTGCAACGGCAGATGATACAGGAGCAGCAGAAACAGAATGCACTTCTCCACATGGAGGTCCAAAAATGCCTTACAGCAGCCTCTCCTGTCCAGAGGGAAGCAACCATGCAGCCTAACCCAGGTCGATTCATCCCCAAAATGACAGGGAGTGATGAGATAGAGGCCTACTTAACGGCCTTTGAGCGCACAGCTGAAAGAGAGGGCTGGCCAAGGGACTCCTGGGCTGATCTGGTTGGACCGTTCCTCCTGGGCCCGGCACAGCAAGCTTACTTCGACCTCCCTCCGGACCAAGCAAAGGATTACGTCGTCTTGAAGAAGGAAATCCTGGCGAGGTATGGCTACAGCTTAGCAGCAAGAGCCCAGCGGTTCCATGAATGGAAATACAAGCCAGAGTTGTCAGCCAGGGCCCAGATGTATGACCTAGGCCGGGTAACCAGAGCCTGGCTGACATGCAACCCCGAAAAGTTAAGTGTTTTAGAGAGGATAATGATGGACAAATATATTCGGTCTCTGCCCTATGAGATCAAGAAAATGACAAGCCAGCAGAATCCAGCCGGTCTGGATGAGTTGGTTAACGTAGTGGAGAGCCACGTGGTCACAGCGGACCTGCTTAAGTCCACACGACCAGACACCGAGTGGGGCCGGAAAGTCAGTGGGGAAGCATCACGGACTAGACGGGCACGAGAACCGCGATGGGAACCAGAAGAGGTAAGGCGACGACAGTCCTACCTGCCAGAGGGCCAACCGCGTTGCTACCAGTGTGGGGAGACAGGCCATATTGCCCGGGACTGCCCAGGGAAGGATGAGCTAATGCCGACCGCCAACTCATCTGGTGCAAGGCCCTGCCACCTTCTTGACTCTTGCTGGGTACAGGAAAGCTCCCTGGCTCAAATGATACCAGTCAAAGTAAATGGAAAAGATGCAGAGGCGCTAGTGGACTCAGGAAGTGTGGTAACCCTCATTCAACCCCACCTCCTCGACCATTTGCCATCTGAAGAGACTGTGCCCGTCTCCTGTGTCCATGGGGACACTAAATTATACCCCACTTGCCTCATCCACCTTACCACAGTTAAAGGCAGCTGTGAGATGAAAGTGGGGGTGGTTCCTTCCCTACCAGTCCCAGTCTTGGTGGGGCGAGACTGCCCACTATACAAGCGCCTGCGGCACCAGAAGGAGGTGAGTCCCAAAAAGCACAAGCGTGCCAAAGGAAAACGAGAGAGAGGACAAACTGCCACCCAGGGTACTTCTCCTCAGCAGTTCCCCAATGTTGTGTGTGCTGTGCCGGAGGAGCAGAGAGGCAACCAATCTTCCAGTGCAGACGAGGCAAATGATAACCCTTTTGTTGCTTTCCCTGGAGACCTAAGCACAGGTCATGAGGAGGGGGAAGTCTCATTGCTTCCAAGTTTGAAGGGCCAGTTCGGGACCGCCCAGATGGAAGACCCCAATCTGTTGCATGCACGCAGCAATGTTACGGAAATAGAGGGAAAACCAGTTCCAGGAGTGGGTGAGCTTACATGTCCTCATTTCCTAATAAAAAATAATCTGTTATACTATGCCAAAGAGGTTGAAGGTCAGCGAAGAGACTTGTTGGTTGTCCCAAAACAATATGTGTCCACAGTGTTGCATCTGGCTCACAGCCATGTCCTAGGGGCCCACCTAGGGGTTGAGAAGACAAGGCAGCGGATTGGGAGCCGGTTCCACTGGCCAGGGGTGGTAAGGGCTATAGAGGATTATTGTCGCACCTGTGTTGAATGTCAAAAGATGAGTCCCAAGCCACACTTTAAAAGTCCCCTAATACCTCTACCGATAATCGATGTACCGTTTTCTCGCATTGCCATGGACTTAGTGGGGCCGCTGGTGAAGTCTGCCAGGGGACATCAGTATATTCTTGTGATCCTTGACTATGCAACCAGGTACCCGGAGGCCATTCCCTTGAGGAACATGACAACGAGAGTGATTGCACGGGAGCTGCTTCACCTGTTCAGTCGAGTTGGGATTCCTAAAGAGATGCTAACAGACCAAGGCACTCCCTTCATGTCCAAGATAATGAAGGATCTCTGCAGGCTCTTCAAGGTAAAGCAGCTTCGTACATCTGTCTACCATCCGCAGACAGACGGATTGGTAGAACGCTTTAACAAGACGTTGAAATCCATGTTAAAGAAGGTTGTTGACAAGGATGGTCGTAACTGGGACCAGCTTCTGCCCTATGTCCTGTTTTCAATCAGGGAAGTTCCACAGGCTTCAACCGGTTTCTCCCCCTTCGAGCTGCTGTATGGCCGACAGCCCAGAGGACTTCTCGACATCGCGAAGGAAGCCTGGGAGGAGCAACCAAGCCCCCATCGGAGCCTGATTGAGCATGTAGAGACGATGCAGACGCATATGAAAGATGTTTGGCCCATGGTCAGAGAGCACATGGCTCAAGCCCAAGAAGCCCAGAGGAAAGTGTATAACAGAGGTGCCCAACCACGTGAGTTCCTGCCCGGGGATAAAGTGCTTCTCCTGGTCCCCACCACAGAACACAGATTCCTGGCATCGTGGCAAGGTCCCTATGAAGTGACAGAGAAGGTGGGACCAGTCAACTACAAGGTACGCCAACCTGGCCGTCGCAAACCATCCCAAATATACCATGTTAACCTGTTAAAGAAATGGTATGCCCGAGAGGCACTGCTGTGTTCTTGTTCCCTGTTTGTATCCCCTTCTCCAGACCATGAGGTGGCCGAAGTTGAATACGGTCCAGGGCTATCCAAAGCTCAGTTACAGCAAACCAAGGAACTGGTTCAGCAGAGTTTGGATGTGTTCTCACTACGACCTGGACGCACAACGATGGTGGAACATCAAATCCACACAGAGCCTGGCCAAAAGGTAAAGAGCAAGAAGTGCAGAAAATGCTGGCTATGGGGGTGATTGAAGAATCTCACAGTGAGTGGACCAGCCCTGTCGTTCTGGTTCCTAAGCCAGACAAAACCAACAGGTTTTGTAATGATTTCAGAAAATTGAATGAAATCTCCAAGTTTGATGCGTATCCTATGCCCAGGATAGATGAGCTAATTGATCGGCTTGGGGAAGCCAGGTATATCAGCACTCTGGACTTGACGAAAGGGTATTGGCAGGTCCCACTTGAAGCTGCCTCAAGAGAGAAGACGGCCTTCGCCACCCCCACAGGGCTGTACCAGTACACTGTGCTTCCCTTCGGGCTTCATGGAGCACCAGCCACGTTCCAGAGACTGATGGACAAGGTTCTGAGGCCACATCGTGAGTATGCAGCTGCCTATTTGGATGACGTTGTTATCCACAGTGACTCATGGGATAGCCATCTCATAAGGCTTGCAGCAGTGCTGGAATCTCTCCGCAGGGCGGGCTTGACAGCTAATCCAAGAAAATGCAAGCTTGGACTAGAGGAAGCCGAATACCTGGGCTTCACCATTGGGCGGGGCAACGTTAGACCACAAGAAAGGAAGGTTCAGGCGATCCAGGACTGGCCACGGCCGTCAACAAAGAAACAGGTGAAAACATTCTTGGGTCTGACGTCCTATTATTGCCGTTTCATCCCAAACTTCTCCACAGTAGCCTCTCCCCTTACAGACCTGACCAGAGACTCACAGCCGCTAATGGTCAAGTGGACAGGAGAGGCTGAACACGCCTTTGAGGAACTTAAGAGGGCTCTCTGCGCACGGCCGGTGTTGGTGACCCCAGACTTCAGCCGGGGGATGATTGTGCAGACGGATGCGTCAGAGGTGGGCATAGGAGCAGTACTATCCCAGGAGGTTCACGGTGAGGAACACCCCGTCATGTACATCAGCCGGAAGCTGAACACAAGGGAACAAGTGTATGCTACTGTGGAGAAAGAAGGCCTAGCAATAAAATGGGCGCTTGAGCGCCTCCGGTATTACCTCTTGGGACGTCACTTCACTCTGGTAACTGATCATGCCCCACTGATCTGGATGGCAAATAAAAAAGACACAAACGCTAAAGTAGGAAGGTGGTTTGTCTCACTACAGGAGTTTAACTTCTCTATCATCCACAGAGCCGGAGCCAAGCATGGGAATGCAGATGCCCTGTCCCGTAGAGATGCCCTGTGGACCATGGTCACCTCTCCTAGGCCAGAACTGAAGGGGGGGGGTGTGTAAGGGACTGAGAGGCAGAGTAGTGGGAGGCACCTACATTCCCAATAGGTGGCTCCACCCGCTGCCAATTAGCAGTATTGGGACCAGGTGTGGAGACCTCACACCTGGTGCTAATCACTCCCTCAAGGGAGACAAAGCACACAGAGTTGCTCAGTTGTGTGTGGCACATGGAGGGAGCAGGAGGCTCCCAGCGTGAGGAAACATTTTTGTAAGCTGGTAAGTCGGTTAGCGGCCCGGCTACGTTAGCCTTTGTTTAGTTAAAGGTATTTTTGAGTTTGTTAGCAATAAAGCCTCTTTTTGGATTTGAACACTGCCTCTGTCGTGATTGCTGCACTACCACTTTTCTCTTTATCTGCCCTGTCCTGTTACAATCATAAGTTTGTGTAGATCCCTTCACCACAAACTTCTTGTCCTCAATCTGCAAAATCACAAGTCAAACAAGGATAAATGTATTTGTTACACAAGTGACATATGTGCGTATTGATTCTGTAGTGATAAACCTATAGCATGTTATGTTTTTTCAGCTGTTATATCCATTACCTGCTGAATATACAATGCTGCAATGTTGCCATCTTGGGGGAGGAATTTTGCTCGCTGGAATGATTCCCAGCGTCCAAGGGCAACATCAACAATGCGTGCCTCATAATAGGTCTCCAGCCTCGAGGTCAGCAGATCAAACAGCTGAGGAAGGTTGAAGGCCTTTGTCCTCTGCAGTATTTTGTCCTTGAGGACACGCATTGCCGCTTCTGCAAAATTGTTGGTATTGTTTCCTCTGGTGAGGAAACTGCCTCTATAACTGAGGGCCCAACACTCTCTTCTAGCGTACAGTCGGTCCAAGTACCTGAAGAACCTTTCATACCTGCAGTTGGTTAAAAAAAGAAAAAATTATCCAAACAGTAAAGCTTAATCACTTCATTACATTGGGTGTTGGATGTTATTTCATAAGAATAAGTCAATTTCTCTCATATGGCTAAACAAAACATCACTAACTTGTCTGCATTAAACACTAACCTGGCTACAACTGGATGCCCTCTTGCCTCGCTGTAAAGCCTATCCACACTGCCTATCTCCTGACAGTAAAGCATCTCTTTTACAATGGCAAAAAGTGCCGGTCTGTCTCCGTGAGTGACCCCACTCTCCTTGCTCCACAGCCACCTCCAAACTGCTTGTAGCAGATGGAAGGAGCACAGGAGAAGTGTGGCCTTAGGAAATGCTTTTCCCAGAGCTCCCCTCTCTGCCCTACAGTCATCTGTGATGACCAGTTGTGGCCCTTCGTGTCCTCTGCCAGCAAAGCCCTTCTCTCTAACAACTTGTTTGAGCTGTTCCAGCCCTTGAGCAATAGTCTGCTCATCCTCAGACTGGCAGAGGAGAATGCCCAGAGGGAGGCCACCTGCACAGCTGTGGGTCAGGAGGAGGAATACCCTGCAGTTTTCCCTGTCCATATTCCCTGAGGAATCTATGAAGCACAGCTCCCCACTGTGCTTCAGTTGGTGCACTTTCTTCATGAGTGGAGAACACACAACCACAAGAGGAGCTCCCTGGGAAGTTGTTCCCAGGAGAGCACAGGTGTCATTACACTTATTGTTGTAAATCTCCACTTGAAGCTTGAGCGCTGCCAACATCGTGGGACCTGTTTGCGTGCCATACTCCTCCCTACACACCTTGTGGAACAGTCTGGGTAGAAAATGAATTAGTTGGTATGGGTGTCACTTACATGCAGTAGAAAAGCGTATTTGTATTCACTGAATACATCATAGTTTTTATTGCATCGTTATTTATATAGTGGGTAGTAGGTATCTTGACCATGTTTCCAGATGTGATACCCACCTCTGTACATAAGGCAGGTCTGGGCAAATCTCCCTGTTGGCCGACACGTACACATAACGCTGCCCATACTCCATTTGGAGGTCGTGTTTCAGGACCGACAGTGCAGATGTTGGAGTGTGGCCAATTTCAAAGAGCCCTGTGAGTATGTTGTTTGCCTTTTCCCCAACATCTCGGTGGCGGATGGCGTCCGCAACAAAAAGATTGTGGTTGTGCCTGTTTATTAGAATAACCTTAAATGGTAGGTCAGGCATGTGTGGGTCTTCGGTCCTATAACATAAATCAATATATATATCAATATTATGTAAAAAAAGCAAAACGTGAAATAATAAGTATGTGGATCAGTAAACTCACTTCATTTCCCCACGAGTACTCTTGAGTGTCGTGTGCATTTTTGCTTGACAGCAGGTGTTCTTGCTGCTTTTGGCTGCTCTCGGGTTCACCCTATGCTGACACTTATAACTTGCCTGAACAAAATAAAGCAGATTTATTATAGTACAGGTCAAAGTAAAAAGGATAATTAAAAGGTAACTTCAAGAAATATCAACAAGACAACACTTACTTTGAAAAGCACCCGCTTCCCCAACCTGGGTCGGGTAACATCCACCCTCCATGTCACCCCTGATGACCCCTTCAGCTTTTGTACCCACTCCTTGACCTGTTCCACAGTGTGGACATCCAGCCTCAAAGTGGCCTCAAAACCAGTGTGGTCCCCCAGTGAAACCACCTCTTCATACTGGCACACGTGGTATCTGAACTCACCTGGTAGCCAACCCTACAAGGAAACAGACAACTATTCATTCAAATCCACACACATAATACTGTGTCAGCTCAGAATACCAGTAAGAGTTTTGCCATGATCTGAAGAACTAAAGAGGACCATGAGGTTTAAAATGTACTGACTTTACTTAGAACTAGAGTAGAATACACATTATACTTGCAGGCTTAAAAAGTCTGAAAAATAAAAATCCAACCCTCAAAATCCAACCCTCAAAATCCTAAAACATTGGTATAGTTATGCTAACATGTTTATATTCTCTTTAAATGTACTTCATGTGTTTGCATGTTATTCTTTGTAATGCCTTGTCTTTTATCTGGACAATAAGTCTGTTATTAAGTGGTATAGTTTAGATGATGATGATGATGATGTGTAGGTGAGGCATTGATATGAGCAAACACATTCAATGTAATTTGATGTTCATCATAGTATTGAGAGATAGGTCTTATCAGATACCTTCAACCAGAGGTGTGGACTCGAGTCACATGACTTGGACTCGAGTCACACTCGAGTCACCAATGTGATGACTTTTGACTCGACTTGACAAAATCACAAAACACTTGCGACTCGACTTGGACTTGAACACTAATGACACTAATGACTCGGGACTTGACTTGGACTTGAGCCTTCTGACTTGAGGTGACTTGATAATTTAATTCAGAGGTCTCCAACACGCCGATCGCGAGATGCCGCTAGAAGAGCAGACTCCCGTCGGGGAGAGCAGAATCTCCAGCCGCTGCAACTCTTGCTGTGAATCCATGCAGGAAGGGGCGGGACTTTATTTAGCTGAGCCACCATGCGGCCAATCATACTGTATGTGAGGACACACTAGGATCATACCATTATGTGAAAGAAGGGTGGGGGGCAGACGCTCCAAAGACAGCAGGTGTAGTGGTACAGGCCAGATACACAGAGCGACGGGGAGACAGATTTAAATGCAAGCGCGTCGGAAAAAGTCAAGAAATGAGCGAAAACCGAAAAAAGAAGCAGCATCTGGCTGCATATCAATGATATTGGAGAAAGCAGAGCTGAGTGCAGGATTTGTAAAATGAAAATAACCTTCAGAGCAGGGTTTTGTTTTGGTAACCACTCAGGATTTATTGTCAGAGGTGGGAGAAGTTCAGATCTTGTACTTGAGTAAAAGTACCAGAGTGTAGGAATACTCGGTTACAATAAAAAGTCCTGCATTCAAAATGTTACTCAAGTAAAAGTACAAAAGTATTATCATCAAAATATAGTGAAAGTACCACCTGCAGAGGGATCTAGATGCAGGTGTTCTCTTCCCCATAGAGACGCCTCGCTGCACATTATCCCTTGCATAAAGATAGGTTGTGGGTCCCTTATAACATGTTGTACACAGTGGAAATAAACATTCTGGTCACCTCAACATCAGGGATCTTATACATTAAACTCCTTCTGAATCAAACCGTCACGGTAGCCTTACCTTACTGATCCCTCTTACAATAGAAGAAAACACGTGACTTTACCAGCAGAGAGAAAATAGATTATTAAATTATTAATGTGACTAATAAAGAGCAGTTTGATTATTAAGTATTATTCTGTTGATCGATGTCATTACATTTGGTGAAAAGCACATAATGACTTGTTTAAGACTCGTTTTGTCAAAGTTTAGGACTTGGACTTGACTTGAACTTTCCCATCCTGACTTGAGACTTGACTTGGACTTGAGCGCAAAGACTTGAGACTTGACTTGGACTTGAGCGCAAAGACTTGAGACTTGACTCGGACTTGAGCGCAAAGACTTGAGACTTGACTTGGACTTGAGCGCAAAGACTTGAGACTTGACTCGGACTTGCAAAACAATGACTTGGTCCCACCTCTGCCTTCAACTGCGGGTACTCCTCTATATTGTTCTGTGTGCCTCCAGAGCACACTAAAACACGAGGTCTGAAATGAAAGCAAAAAAAACAGCTTATAGTTATTCAGGTACTATTCTGATGCTAATACTTTAGTACTTATACTTGAGTATTTCTACACTCTGGTACTTGTACTTTTACTCAAGTACAAGATCTTATCACTTCTTACACCTCTGGAAAGCACTTTTATGTAAAGGAATACATTTTTATAAATGTCCCAACATTTCATTTTTACATGGCAAAACGTTAATATGTTATTAATGTCAAATGTTATATGTTGTATTATATAACAAAATAGACATTTATAACATATTATAAATGTCTACCTTTAAATAAAATATTAAATAGATACCTTCAACCAGAGGTGTGGACTCGAGTCACATGACTTGGACTCGATTCAGACTCGAGTCACCAATTTGATGACTTTGGACTCGACTTGACAAAATCACAAAACATTTGCGACTCGACTTGGACTTGAACACTAATGACACTAATGACTCGGGACTTGACTTGGACTTGAGCCTTCTGACTTGAGGTGACTTGATAATTTAATTCAGAGGTCTCCGACACGCCGATCGCGAGCTGCCGCTAGAAGAGCAGACTCCCGTCGGGGAGAGCAGAATCTCCAGCCGCTGCAACTCTTGCTGAGAATCCATGCAGGCAGGGGCGGGTCTTTATTTAGCTGGGCCACCATGCGGCCAATCATATGCGAGGACACACTAGGATCATACCATTATGTGAAAGAAGGGTGGGGGGCAGACGCTCCAAAGACAGCAGGTGTAGTGGTACAGGCCAGCTACACAGAGCCACGGGGAGACAGATTTAAATGCAAGCGCGTCGGAAAAAGTCAAGAAATGAGCGAAAACCGAAAAAAGAAGCAGCATCTGGCTGCATTTCAATGATATTGGAGAAAGCAGAGCTGAGTGCAGGATTTGTAAAATGAAAATAACCTTCAGAGCAGGGTTTTGTTTTGGTAACCACTCAGGATTTATTGTCAGAGGTGGGAGAAGTTCAGATCTTGTACTTGAGTAAAAGTACCAGAGTGTAGGAATACTCGGTTACAATAAAAAGTCCTGCATTCAAAATGTTACTCAAGTAAAAGTACAAAAGTATTATCATCAAAATATAGTGAAAGTACCACCTGCAGAGGGATCTAGATGCAGGTGTTCTTTTCCCCATAGAGACGCCTCGCTGCACATTATCCCTTGCATAAAGATAGGTTGTGGGTCCCTTATAACATGTTGTACACAGTGGAAATAAACATTCTGGTCACCTCAACATCAGGGATCTTATACATTAAACTCCTTCTGAATCAAACCGTCACGGTAGCCTTACCTTACTGATCCCTCTTACAATAGAAGAAAACACGTGACTTTACCAGCAGAGAGAAAATAGATTATTAAATTATTAATGTGACTAATAAAGAGCAGTTTGATTATTAAGTATTATTCTGTTGATCGATGTCATTACATTTGGTGAAAAGCACATAATGACTTGTTTAAGACTCGGTTTGTCAAAGTTTAGGACTTGGACTTGACTTGAACTTGCCCATCCTGACTTGAGACTTGACTTGGACTTGAGCGCAAAGACTTGAGACTTGACTCGGACTTGCAAAACAATTACTTGGTCCCACCTCTGCCTTTACATCCTAAACAGAAGGTCAAAACGTTAATATGTTAGATGACAAACAAAAAAACGAAACATTATATATATATATAGGCTATATATACAGATGTTTGCTAATGTATCCCTCTTATATCCATCAGGAATTAATATTAAATGATGAATTAACATTACCTCAGCACTGCATAAGTGTGGTCGTCAGTCATATTGACAAAGAAGCACTATTATATTGTATATTGTATATTATGCGGCGTTTAAAAGGACGGTATTTCGCTTGTCAGATTCAGATTTCGCAGGTGTGTTGCGTGAGGCAGTGATGTAACCATAGGGATGTGACGCCAGGTTGATGCTGTGACGTAACGCCGCGTCGATGCTTGCGTAATGCGGAAGTGGGATCTAAACTGGGTTGGAAAAACGATAGACGCGCCCAGGACAGGGACGGTCAGATTTATCCTGCAGTACAGGGGTCTTGGCTATAAGAAAAGGTGGAGGAAAAAGGGCAATAGAGAATTCTGTGTAAATTGCTTATTTGTCAGTGTATATAATATATGTTATATCTAAAATAATACATATTATTTGAATAGCGTTTTCACATACTCAACACTTTAAACACTCAAAATTCACAAGACATAATTAAAGCAACCCACTTTAAATACATAAAACAGAACTTTATTGACAATAAAGCAGTTATGAAGAGTGGAGTTTTGATATGTGATTTGAACATGGTGAGATGGGAGCAAACATGTATTTTGGTGGGTTAGTTCCACATTATATATAATATATTACATACATAGCTGAGGTTATTCCACATTATGAAGCTTATTAATGGCATTTTAAACATGTGTTATATTGTGAAAATGAAATGGGATTAGCCATATGAACTACAGTTAGCATACTAGACTATAGTTTTCTGAAGCCAATATTAACAATAAAGTACAGGGCTTAAGCTATATTTTTCTTACCTGGAAATGGTCTTCACTGAGCCTGAAGTACAGGACTCGCCTGTTCTTAGGTCTTGGAACCACATTTTGCATTAAAAGTATTAACAGTAGCAACGTTACTTCGGTGGCAAGTTCGTTCTCCATCTTTCACAATTCTTTCTTCAGAAGAACTTCAAAGGAATTCTGTCTTCAAAGGAAGTGGTTGCTAGGCAACAGAGGCGGCAAAACGTAGGGGCGGGAACTGCTGGTGACGTCAAGACGTAGACTAGACTAGTGGTTCCCAAACGGTGTGCCGCGGCACACTGGTGTGCACACACTGGTGTGCCGTGAGGCAAGTCCGGGTGTGCCGTGGGATTTTGACAACAAAAATAATTATTTTTTTAATTTACTATATCAGTACTTTGTATGCACTCATTTCATAATACAGAGGCAAACTCTATACCTAAAAACAATTCTTTAAAAAAAAATCCTCACAGAACCCCATATTTCGCTGTTAACGCAGTTGCAGGTGGGAATTATAAGACCGTGACACATCGAAGGCTGAAGGACAACACTAAAACAGAGAAACACGCAAGAGGGAAAATGGAGCGCTTTCTTGTGCGGAGCAAACCACCAACCACCAGTGCAGAGACTGCCGACAACCCACCACCGAAAGAAAAGAGGAAACAAACTGTCAGCAGACAGTATCATGAAAGTTACCTGTCTTATGGCACTGCAGGCGAGCGGCAGATTTCCCCTACAAATAGACGAATCGACTGACATAAGTGGGGCTGCCCAACTTCTGGCAAACGTCAGATATGTTGATGCTGACTCTATCAAAGAGACGTTTTTCTTTTGCAAAGAAATGGAAAGCCATACTACGGGAGAAGAAATATTCAGGGTAACTAATAACTATTTAAAAGAGAACAGTCTGACCTGGAATATGTGCGTCAGTCTTTGCACAGATGCGCGGCAAGCATGACGGGGAGAGTGAAAGGATGTATTGCTAAGGTGAGAGCACAAAACCCACATATCGTGACAAACCACTGCATTTTGCATAGAGAGGCATTAGTTGCCCCCCATGCCCCCGGAGTTGACTGAGGTGCTGAATCAGGCTGTGCAGATGGTGAATTACATCAAATCAAGGCCCCTGAAATCTCGCCTCTTCTCCCAGCTGTGCGCCGAGATGGGAGCCGACCACCAAAGCCTGATCCTCCACAATTTTTAATTTTGTGACCTGTCTGGTTTAAATGAGTGTGTTGCTGCTTTGATGAAGCCTAATTTGATAAAGTTTCAAATTAATTTCTGAAATATTTCGTTAATAAATATTTCATGAGATATATAGTTGTCTTTGTCACATTTTATTTGGCATTAGTAAATAATTATGCACATTTACAGATATTTTACATGATATGAGTGATAACACGTGTTATAAGGGCTATTTTGCACAATAGGTGTGCCTTGAGATTTTTACTTGTCCTTTGGTGTGCCTTGGGCACAACAAGTTTGAGAACCACTGGACTAGACCGTCTCATTTCGCAGGCCTCTCGCTCCAGCCTACCCGCTCTACGTGGGCTGGGTGCTCCGTGGACCGCGTAGGCTGCGTACTCCGAAGGGTGCAGCCCCTGAATTGAGACACGGCCATTGTGTTATGGATTTTTTGTCAAAGCACTTCAGATATTCATTGCTATCGGGATGTTAAGAGCATTCCATGGAATATAACAAAAAGTGTATCTCGAGCCGGTTTCTCAAACTTACCTACCCTACCTTTAAATGTAGCTGTCAATAAACTCTGTCCTGAGAGAATTAACCGTCCCCTGGCCGCCTCCCTATGCGATTATCTTTGTTTCATAAAGATAAAGCAACACTTTCTCAGAATCAAGCAAAACTAAGAGTTTAAGAGAAACTAAATGAGTCAAGCAAAATACATTTAATTATAAAAAAGTAAAACTATAAGTTGCAAACAAATCATTTGTGTAATCATGTAAACTATAAGTCTTTCTTCTTTGTTTTAACACATCTCTTTGTTTGCAGTTCTCTTTGCTTCTTTCTCAACGATCAGACTTTTGCTCTCGCTGCAGCTCTTCTCGTTTGCGCTCCCTCATTTTTTGTTTGCGATTCTGACACAAACGTCCCAGGTGGGCGGGACTTTCAGGGGTGCGTCCCCATTGGCTACTCAGTTTTTGAGTGACAGCCCTCTACACCACAGATCATACAGTGCAACTCATGCAGCAAACTCCGGAGTCCACTCGGCCACGTTAGTGTCGGTGTCTCCTGGAGAGTTTCATGAACATATCGGACTCATCTTATGGATCGCTGTGCATTAGACTTGTGTTGTGTCGTTTATACTTTATTCCAACTTTAAATATTTGAATACCTGAACACACTGCTGCTGTAAAATAATTTCCAATTTGGGATCGATAAAGTGTCTGTCAGTCTATCTATTTATTTATTTTATAGATAAAGAAAACACATCTATGTATTTTCAAGCTAAAGGTGATACACAATATAAACTGTATACTGTTATTTATTCAAAGACATGTTATATTTTAAAAGCATATAATGCAGTGTTTAGGTCAAACAATTAAAGACTGCTTTAATTTAACAAATTCTACAATATAAAAGTGGCAGATTTGCTTTATTAAACAGACCAGACCTACAGTAGGCTGCATAGCAACACAATTAGGAGCATGCTCACATCTCACTATGTTGGTCTGAAGAGCTGAAGCATTCATACACAATGGATACACACTGTGTTGTTCTATATCCTGTGAGAAATGATATACATTTAGCATTAAAAACTCAACATGCTATTCCTGAGGGAGATCTGAATAATCAACAGGTCTGAATGGAATCTGACATGTTCATGTAGAATAAAGACAAAAGAGTGATTATACAAATTACATTTATTGAAATTTGAACCAGAAGAAGAAGTCTCAAAGAATGTTTCAAATAAAAGGACATATAACAAAAAGGTGGATAATAATACAATCTATTAACCTCTTAAGCACGGCGGTCCCCCCATTGGACCCCTCCCACCGCTTTTTTTTCGAGACAATGTCTCAGGGCTTCTTTACATTTATGAAACTATTAATGTGTAGCACCAGATTAACGGGAAGAATCTCAGCTAACTGAAGATATGAACCATTTTTACCAAAACAAAACACAAGTCTCATAAGAAGGGTCTAAATGACCCCTGAGCGAAAAAATTCTAACGCACTGCGGCACACAATTCAAGATAAAGATACCCTTATTACTTATCGTAGCTGCACATACAATATAGCCGATTAAAGCTGAGACTCCACTGATTATTTAGGTATAGTATCATCACTGAGCGATCCGAACTTGCGACAGGGGAAGCAAACACAGACATCACAACACGTACCTTTACGGAGCTTTTACGGCAGATCGTCTCACCGTAGCTGTCAATTAGGTCAAAAGACGTGTTCAATGGCATTAAAACGAAAAAAAAAAATGCTACATCTGTTGATCCATAGGTTGATAATGTACCTGTGCCTTTTAAAAAATTATTTATAATCCATAATTCCATTTTTATGTAAAAATCGGAGCGGAAAAGTTAGCTGCTAATGGTAGCCACCAGAGTGTATGCAGCTTCCGGTTTTGGTAACGCGTCACTCCTTATTTGTTAACGTTTTGGTGTGTATATAACTTCCCCTCGATTCCATTGGCTCTAGCGGTTATAAAGAGATTTCATTCATCAAAATCGACCAAGGGGGGCCAGAGATAGGTCAAATCCACCCAAATGACCCCAGAAGTGGGGTTTTTGGCTAAATCTGTCTAAAAAGGTCAAATGTCACTTGTTTTGCATCAATCTTGATACAGGGTACTTATTATATGTTGTACTTTGGATTCCTAAAGCTTTTAGTCTACTAACCCATCATCCAAGGGTAGTTTTCACTATAAGTAAAAATGAATTTTTGGACGGACACTATCATTTACAGTTTTTTACTATGTAAAATCTGAATTTTCTTTAAAATAAAAAACATCTATATTGTACGGTGGCCCTGAAGTGCAAGACACCGCAGCATTTCAGAAAACACCACAGCATTTCAGAAAACACTACAGCATTTCAGAAAACACTACAGCATTTCAGGAAACACTACAGCATTTCACATTGGACAGAAAGGGTATTAATTTAGGGAGAACACTTCTTGTTTGTGATTGGACAGAGCCAGCCAGAGAAGCACTGCTGTGATTGGTTGTTTTTGCTGCCAGTCAAGAAATTACGCTTCGTGATTGGTCAGCACCCGGCCGACAGCACCACGTATTTCCTGTTTGGTACTATTCAGCTGTTTCTTCACGAATTTTAAACTGAGTTGGAAAGAATGGAAGAAGAGATGGAAATATTAAGGGAATATTTTAACGAAGGATATACATACGATGTTATCCTCGACATGCTTTCAACCCATCATGACATCAACATGTCCCTTAGAAACCTGAAAGCGCGGTTGAAAGAGTTAAGACTAAGGAGACGGGGTGACTACTCGTCAACAAGTGAAGTCAGGAGGGCCATCTTCTCAGAGCTGCGGGGACCTGGACAAATGTTTGGCTATCGAACTATGTGGCTGACATTAAAGCAGAAACATGGACTCCATGTTAAAAGGGAGACGGTAATGAGAATGCTTCGTGAACTGAACCCACTCGGAACATTGTCGCGGACACGCCGTAGGTTTGTCAGACGCACGTACCACTCTATGGGTCCAAATTATGTGTGGCACGTAGATGGATATGACAAATTGAAACCGTTTGGCATTGGGATATCTGGTTGTATTGACGGGTTCTCCCGCAAAATCATGTGGCTCAAGTGTGGACCAACAAACAAGAACCCAGAAGTGATAAAAAACTACTTTATTGACTGTATCAGAAATGTTGGCGTTATTCCCATGAGACTGCGCACAGACTGTGGAACAGAGAATGGGTTAATGGCCTCTGTCCAGTGCACTCTTCGTCACGACCACAGTGATTACTACGCTGGTGACAAAAGCCACATGTTTGGGTCTTCTATGAGTAACCAGCGGATCGAGTCCTGGTGGTCAATATTCAGAAAACAAAGGTATGTGGACATGAGTTGTTTCGTGCTGCCCAATGCCAGAGTTAGTATCGTTGTGGATACTGTATCAAATAATATTGTTTTACCAGCTCGATGCCCGACTGTAAAAATACATTATTTAGGCCTGTTTTAAAGAACAATTACAAAGTTACATAGGCTAAGTAGACCTTTGTCTATAATAAGCTAAATGTATACATGTTGTTAGGTGTAAGTGTAAAGGGGCACATGTGAATAAATGATGAGTAAAGTATAAGTAGTCCACATCATATTTGTGTATAACAAAACATCCTGTTTATCCCAAGGACTCAGTTCTGGATGGATCTATTTGCTGATCTAAGAGACCACGGACACTTCAATGGCACCCATGAGCACCAGTGCCTTCTACGGTTCTGTTTCATGACAGTTCTTCAGGCAGACCTGGTTGAATGTGTTCACCTTTGGAACCGGCACAGAATCCGGCCCTCTAGACTTGCCTCTTGTCCGGGTGGAATTCCTAATGAGCTGTATTCACTACCTCACAGGTAAATTGTTTATATTTTGTAGTTAATACACATTTCATGAACAGTATTGTATTACATAAGCATATTTCTGCCACACCAGAAAAAAATAAAATGGGAAATATGAGCTTACACCCATATAGGCTTACACCACACTAATAATAATAACCAAGATGGCCACAAAACACATCATGACATAGTTTCAAAAACTATCATTTCAGAGCATTTAGTTTACATAACATAAGTGTGCTGTTGTGATAAAGTATTCTCATACTTTGCTGCCAAGCATCTCCCCTCAAGCATCATTATAATACTAACTGTTTTATAGGTTTGGGTCACGGGACTGTGGCTTTGCTCTGGATGAAGCATCAACCCACATTTTTCAAGACGGGCATCAGACAGAAGATCCATGTGGTGATCCGGACATCAATGACTATTTTCAGCAGGCAATGCAACAACATGGACTTCAACATCCAGATACCTGGCAAGCAGCATCCCAGCTGTTGATTACACTGAAGGGAATAGCTGGGCTGTGAATGGGACAGTACCTTCAATTAGGCAGCTGTGAGCCCTAACAGAGTTGGCACAAGACATTTGAGGATTTGGGAAACAGTGATTTATTTGCATTTAAGAAAATAAATGTTTATTCTTGTGAAAACGCTGCAAAACAGTATTGTGTTCCTTAAACATATTAGCACTACTAATAACGTTGTCTTTATAGACGTCTAAAGAAAACTCTGAAACCGCTGTATGAAACATATTTTTCCCCAAACCTCAAACATGAGGAACTCCACAAGTTTATAAAACTCCAAAAAGCTATACTGCAGTGATGGTGTTCTACCCCTTTCTTTTACCATTTCACAGACATCCAAAACCTGGGGAGTTTTGGATGCCAAAGTCTATATTGGCTTTGAAACTAGCGTACGTTCCTAGTAGTGGAAGTGTTATGGTGTTTGCACAGGTGTTTGCCATGGGATAGATAGTCTCCTGTGAAAACGTGACGCATGGATGGGGTGTCATTCCTGCAGGGGGTTCTGTCTTCAGGCCCGTGATGAACATGAATAACTCCTCCAGTGACACTGGTCCTTGTTCTGTGAAACAAAGAGCTGTCATTAAATATATTAACATTCATGTAATAACAGCAGATCCTATTCTGATCAGAACAGTATTTTACTGCACAAACCTTCACAGTCCATCAGATAGTCTGCCGAGAAGCTGAGTGCCACGGTTTCTGTAGTCCTCCTGTTGCTCCCTGCTGGACTGAGCTGTGGTAAGAAGAGTCGTTCCACTTCAACTGAAGTCAGCCTCTTGTCCGTATGACACAGCACTGGCGCCAGTACACTCGGATGTTGGCAAAGGGCATCCAAAAAGTGTAGGCTAGCCAGTCCAGCTTTGAATCTGTTCAAGAATACAGTGAATTGTTACAGGCAGTAAAACATATGCAATTTTAAGGGTTATATATCTCCAAGTAGTATTTAAATACTGTGAAAACAATAACATGATACTGTATATTACTATGAAACACTTATTTTCATAATGTTTAGACAGCAACAATTTTCAAATCATTGTCTGAACTTGACCAATACTTAATATTATAAGTAGAGTAAAAGTAGCATCAGCAGCAGCGGTAATAAGGATGTTTTAATAAGGCCTCAATCAACATTAAATTCCTTTTAATTAAAGCACCTATCATTACCTTTCAATTACACTGTGATTCCTGCCGATGGTGTACCAGGTAAGGTATTCTGCCACCACAGTGTGTTTTTCTTCAACGGAGCTGACATGCCTGAAGCAGCCAGCAGTCTGAAGCATGGAGCTGTGTTTCAGTAACACATCTTGATCAGAGACTTCAGAGAATGTGCCAACTCAATCTAAATGGAAAACACACACACCATCAAAGATATCCACATAACGGCAAATTATTATAATAGATATCACTCTTGTGATTGGACAAAAGAAAAAAAAAACATGTCAAAAGTAGTTGAATGACTGTCAATGTTTAAAAAAAGGAATACTCTAAATTTGTTTTTGAGCATTTCAGATTTTCTGCACACAGTCATTTGAATAAGGGGCTTTTCTGTACACTTAAAACACAAGTACTGTGCTTCTTAGCATTTAAAAAAATAAACCAATTTATGACAATGACTGGTGTAGTTTATTGCAATACCTCACTGAGAGCTCTCCCTATCTCATCATCTGTCACATCCGTCACATGTGCACAGAAACCAGGCTGTCCAGCTATGTGGTTCACCAGGTCCCTTGAAAGAAAATGTGGGCCTGGTCCTCCATGAACAATGGACACAGCTATCATCTTCCCTGCCATGAAATATTCATCCTCCCTGATTGCTGGGGGGACAATTTTCCTTCTCCTTCCTGCTCTCAAACAAGGCCAGCCCTCTGAGTGCCGTGTCTCTGAGGGAGAATAGGCTGGAGCTTGGCTGGAGTTCTTCTGGTTTGATTGCACGTCTGTATTTGCTCTCTCACCACCCTATTTCTAAGTGTTGGTTGCAACCCAGGACTATTATCCAGAGTGTGCTCGCCAGCTGTTTCCTCTCGACTCCGACCACATAGTGATTTTTCTCGAAGGCTCGCTCCAGACGCAGCAGCTGAGACGGAGAGAACGCCGTCCGGATGCGTTTGGGTTTCCTGGAGAACGGGCCGTGCAGAAGCATGTTCTCCGGACTGCCGTCGTCCCCTGAACACAACACGGGGGTTAACACTCTGAGATATCAAGCAGTGGAAGAAACAGCATTCAAAACCTCGCATTAAAGATCTACATCTTTCATCACGGCAATGCATTTGAGCAGCCTGAGCAGCATATGTTGCTAATGCGCGGAGGACCGAGCCCCGTTAAACTCACCAGCAACACAGAGTGGGCCTCGCTCGTGTGGAGGCTACTGCCAACTGTCATCGCCGGCGCCGAGCACCCACGGCCCCGTGTGTTTTCCTGCGGAGGTGTGTTTTCCTGCGGAGGACCGAGCCCCGTTCAACTCACCAGCAACACAGAGTGGGCCTCGCACGTGTGGAGGCTACTGCCAACTGTCATCGCCGGTGTTACCGTTTAACTGGTGACACCGGGGAACTCGTGACGTTCTATAACAGCAGGAATGTGTCAGGGGCGTGTACTTTGAGGAGCCACGAATAACCAGGAAATACACATTTCGATCGCTTCTTCTGTTGTTTACATTTATCTTTTGGTATATTTGGCTCCATAGGAAAACTTTGATGCACATTCAGTACCAGTGTGTGAGGTTGTGGTTGCGATGCCGATATCCGGACGCGTACAGCGAGGACTACACAATGACAATGAGGTGACTGGGGATGTCTGTTCAAAACATTGCAAACGTGAATAAATCATTTCAAATATATATTTGTCTCCGACTTTCATTTGTACATCGTTGTTAATGTGATGTTTAGTAGCTTTGATAGCTGTCCATACCTTCAGACAGCCTAAAAGTAAGACACAAGTTGTTTACTCACAGCCCGAATGCAGCATCGAGATCCGTGGCAAGCTGTGATCCTCTCCGATTAAGTTGTGACAGGACTTCTGTAGCTATTCTCCAGCGAGTAAGGTTTTTATTAAATACCTCCATCCCTCTCATCACAACAACAAGACTCTACACTGTGCAGAAAAAATACAAAATAAATGAAAATAACCTTGCTGGATAGCTTAGAATGAAACAAACAATCTTCCATGGCTGATATGTCACAGTAACGGGTAAAGCACAGAAAAGTCGAGCGGGACACAAGTTGAATCCATATAATGAAATTGTTATTTTATATGTATATACATATATATATATATATATATATATATATATATATATACATGCTATATATATACATGCTATATATATACATGCTAAATAAGACAGAGATGCTTAATTGTTTTAATAAACATTTTATTGCGTCCAGTTCCTTGTTTGACACATTATCTTTTGGTAAATCATCTCCCTTCATCGCCAATAGTCATGCCTCCAGTAGCCACACTTTCCCCTTCAACCCCTTCAATGTTGGGGAGGTTTGTAAGGCTCTAAAGGGCCTAGACCCCAAAAAATCAGCAGGCCCGGACGATCTCCCCCCTTATTTCTTACGGCTAGCTGCAGATATTTTAGCCAAACCACTGTGTCATGTTTTTAATCTTTCTATAACAAACAATGTCATTCCAGATGTTTGGAAAACTGCAAATGTTCTCCCCTTATTGAAAGGTGGTGATCCCATGGTGATGAATAATTACAGACCCATTTCCAAGCTCTCTATTTTAGCTAAAGTACTTGAAAGGCTGGTGAATGATCAAATCAGAGAATATTTAAGCTTGAACAACATTCTATCTCCTCACCAGTCAGGCTTTAGGAAGCAGCACAGTACAGTAACAGCTGCTTTGAAAGTAGTGAATGACATTGTCGAAAGCTTGGACGCAAAGAGCTACTGTGCTGCCCTTTTGATAGACTTATCCAAGGCTTTTGATTCTGTGGACCATGAAGTGATCTCATATAGGCCTGTCTGACCAAGCTGTTGGTGATACTGTGGACCATGAAGTGACCCCATATAGGCCTGTCTGACCAAGCTGTTGGTTGGTTTGCAAACTACCTTTCGAATCGCAAGCAATGTGTAAAATCCAGCGGTCTCTCCTCAAGCTTTCTTAATGTGCCCAGAGGTGTTCCTCAAGGTTCGGTCTTGGGACCGACCCTTTTTACTATTTATATAAATGATGTGGGTCAAAGTATTGATGCCTCTGTACATCTATATGCAGATGATACTGTTGTGTACTGTTGTGCTAGCACTGTTGCCCTTTGAACGTCTGCAGTCTGCTTTTGACACTTTTCAGTCACATCTGTTCCACCTCAGGTTGGTGTTAAACTCAGATAAGACAAAAGTCATGTTGTTTTCCAATAAGAAAAGGTTACCAACTGTTCTTCCCTGCATCATGTCTGCACAGCATAACCCCATTGAAGCTGTTAACACCTACAGATACTTAGGCATCACTATAGATGAAAATCTCTGCTTCAAACAGCATATTGACAATCTCTTAAGGAAATTGAAATTAAAACTGGGATTCTTTTTTAGAAATAAGGCCTGCTTCTCCACAAGTGCGAGGAAACGGCTTGTAGCTGCCACATTTTTGCCGCTCTTGGACTACGGGGATGTTGTGTACATGAACGCCTCAGCTCACTCACTTCATCTGCTGGACGCTGTCTACCATGGGGCTCTGAGGTTCATAACAAACTGTAACCCCCTCACACCCCACTGCACGCTGTCTACCATGGGGCTCTGAGGTTCATAACCAACTGTAAACCCCTCACACACCACTGCACGCTGTCTACCATGGGGCTCTGAGGTTCATAACCCACTGTAACCCCCTCACACACCATTGCACGCTGTCTACCATGGGGCTCTGAGGTTCATAACCAACTGTAAACCCCTCACACACCATTGCACGCTGTCTACCATGGGGCTCTGAGGTTCATAACCAACTGTAAACCCCTCACACACCACTGCACGCTGTCTACCATGGGGCTCTGAGGTTCATAACCAACTGTAAACCCCTCACACACCACTGCACGCTGTCTACCATGGGGCTCTGAGGTTCATAACTAACTGTAAACCCCTCACACACCACTGCACGCTGTCTACCATGGGGCTCTGAGGTTCATAACCAACTGTAAACCCCTCACACACCACTGCACGCTGTCTACCATGGGGCTCTGAGGTTCATAACAAACTGTAAACCCCTCACACACCACTGCACGCTGTCTACCATGGGGCTCTGAGGTTCATAACAAACTGTAAACCCCTCACACACCACTGCACGCTGTCTACCATGGGGCTCTGAGGTTCATAACTAACTGTAAACCCCTCACACACCACTGCACGCTGTCTACCATGGGGCTCTGAGGTTCATAACCAACTGTAACCCCCTCACACACCATTGCACGCTGTACTCTTTAGTCAACTGGACATCATTATCAATGCGCAGATCACTGCACTGGTACAAATTCATCTATACCGCTATGCTTGGACTGCTGCCCCTCTACATATCCACTTACATATCACACAAACAGTACAGCTATAGCCTACGATCTCAACATGACATCACTCTGTCCGTCCCCTCAGTTCGCACGGTGCTTGGAAAAAAAGCCATATCATACTCTGCCCCCTCGACCTGGAACACACTTCAGCAGGAACTTAAGCTGACCACTTTGATACCCATCACGGATTTTAAACTAATTTTAAAAAAGCTGGAGAAATCATCTGTGGGTGTTTGCACCTGCTTTACCTGACTGCTGTGTGGATTTCAGTGACTGCTTTTTTTACGATGTTGTATTTTATTGTTGCCTCTGTGTTTAGTGTCCTGTCTGTCTGTAACTTTGTGTGGTAGTGTTACCACTGACAGGTCTCTCTTGGAAATGAGACCTTGTGTCTCAATGAGATTTTAAACCTGTATAAATAAAGGCTAAATAATGCCAAAACAAATTCTGTACCCTTGATAATCAGAACGTATTTAACTAATTATATTTAGAGTTGTCTTCATGAGATGTTACAGAAAAATGTAGCTTCATAATATTTGCAGCTTTACAAGCAAATTATAGTTGAACTCATTCTTTCTCTTAGATAAAGATTTTACAAATTGATAGCTACTTTCCCTGTCTGTAAAGCACATGTACAAATGTTCCCTGTGGAGTTTTCTTGTAATAAACAAAATGAATGTTTACATTAAAGGTAGTCTGTGATACCCACTATATATCAAACGCGTATTGGCGTTTAAGTGTTACTTTTAAACTCACAAATAATCAGAATTGAATGTAGCGTATAAAAAATTTACAAAGCTAAACATTGTTTACATCAATTTGTACAGACTCGCAGTCTCTTTCATGCTGGTGCATTTATGCTACTGGTAGATCATTGAAATATGTATCTTGCAGCGTTCCCATGTTGATGTGGGACAGAACAGGGGCCCAGTCATAAAATAACTGCCACATAACCCTACTAGAGCTAAAAACTCCACAGGGGACCTTTATCTACCCACATATTCACAGTTACATTAAAACTGCTAAAATAAATAATACTTCAGTATATTATTCCTCCCGTTGACATAGTAACTATTACCATACTTGAGCTCTGTCACATGATCTATGCAAAATAATCATGATTAAATCCAACTATGCAAGGGCTGGTCTGACAACAAACCTGCAGCATTGTACACCAAGTACCGACTCTGTGGAGGTCCCTCAAAAATAGGCCGAGACTGCAAAAAGCTCATGAGGAGTGTCAGAAATTCTCGCCTTGGTCCACCTGCGTCTATTCCTTCTTCCACAGAGCCTGCATCATCCGTGAACCTCACAAGCAAGTCGGACTTTTCACAGAAGGTTGAACGTCTGAACCCTCTGACAGCTCCATCCCAAACATTTGAGCGAGTTATGTTGAATCTGCTGACAGTGTTGTGGTCTATGGCATCTGCTAAGTTTTCAATAATATGGGCTGCAGATATACTTGTGTCCCTGAAACGACATAAATAGATAACAGAATACAATTAAGCATATCAAATAATGTTCTAGTACAGACTCTGGAAAAAGGACTTTAAATACCATAACACTGATTTTTGTATGTTTCATCAAATGTGATTGAAATGTTTCTTCTAATGTTACCTTGACCTCCAATACCACACAAGTTTTCCATTCAAAGATTAGAGCCAATAAAATTACAACTTACACAGCTTCCTTTGCAGGGTCAGCGCTTATGGGCACAACATTGAAATCTTGACTCCCGTCCACATCTTCATCAATTACAATGGGAGCATACAACTGTGTGGATGTGCTGCAAAAAACAAAATGTTATTAAAACAATGGTGCACAACACTTTATTCTACACCTTGAATCTTGCATGGTGAATGTTGCAACCTTGCATGGTTGCAAGGTTAAACTAAACATTACCTGTACAATGGGTTGACAGTGGACCTCACAGCAGTCATGTTGGAAGGGGTATCTGGAACACTAATCATGAATCATTAGTGTAGGGTATCTGTCTTATGTAATAATATGAATAAAGATCAGTGGCTCAAGTCAATACCTTGTAGCAGTGTTCCTCCAACCTTGAGAAGTGCCCTCATTGGGGTCATCAGTGTCCGAAATGAGTATCTGATTTGAGATTAACATTTTAGCATACATGTGAACAAATCACAATATTACATACAGTTTAAAAACGCTTTGATTGTACATCACAATAATACATCAAATGTCTAATGTAATAGTTTTACCAAAAAGGCATTTTTTTAAAGTTTATTTCTTTTAACTTAAATGTTTTACATGGATTATAAGGAAGGAAACAGCACAAATACCCTACCTCTTCCTTTTCACTCTGATATGATGAAGAGCTGTTTGAAGGAAAGAAGGATGGAAGAAAGTGAGGGAGGCAGACACAAGAAGAAATAAAGAAATACAGAATTAATGCACGAGTATTTGCCATGACTGACATGAACATGTTTTTTTTAATCCAGTCCAATTAATGCATTTCGATTTAAGTACTACATTTATAATTGGCTTGTGGTGCAGACAAATTCCATACATTGTGTTCTTTGGGATATCATTTCCTAAGATTGTAGGTGGATCCACTCTGATAGTAGATTGTGGCCAAGGAGGAATAATAACAACATTTTCTAAATATATAGAACATTAGCCTTAATGAAATCAATAACCTTGGTTCACATGGTTATTTTCTTTTTGCTATTTTTCTTTCATTTTCCCCCTTTTGTTGATTGTTATTTTATTACATTAACATGTCATGTAACTGTCTTTTTTAAATATATTTTTTGTATATATATATATCAATTATGTATATTTCTGTATAGTGATGCAGGTAACACCTGAAATGCAGCCGTATTAGCATACTTACAATACAAAAATTAAACGTTTGGTTGCACATGAAAGAAGAGATATTCACATCATGTAGTCAAAGAGATTAACTCTGATAACGGGTCCAACAAATGCAGTCAAAACCCTTTAAAGAGTAAGTCACCACTGCATTTTTCCAAAGGTCAAGAATGAACCTATTACCTTGTTTTCTCTGCAGTGCTTTTTGGAGTACTTTCATGCTCAGGTTCCCAGGGCTGAAAAATACAGTAAAAATGTTTTTCATTGTGCAGCCCCAGTGACCTTACTTGATCTGTAAATGCGGCATGTGTCGCCAGACTTTTATATTATCCAGTTTAGCCATTTTATGTGAATCCACTTGAAATAATTATGCACCTTTTGGTTGGGAAATTGACATAAAAAGTTGATCTGCTTGGGTGTGTCCAAACGTTCTACAAAATCTTATGAAGTATGTGAATTCATTTGGAAATGATGCGCCTTTTTGCAATAAGCCACTACCACTGCTATGCCCCCTTTGAGCCAATTGGCATGAATACACACACACACACACACACACACACACACACACACACACACACACACACCAGTGTGTCAGCAAGGTCAACCTCAGTCACTCTTTTGCGTCTCACGGTGACTTCCTGATCAGAGTCTGATGCATCTTGTTGTTCACCTATGGGAAAGCAGCTTGTCAGTGACATTTTGATTGCTGACCAACCTGAAATGAAATCTGCATAGCCTGAAAAAAAGGATTTACCTTTGTCATAATCTGATTTAAGACATATAAAGAGAGCAATTCGGTTGTAGGTTTTCCCTATTTCCGTTTTATACTCTCTCAGATTAAATGGCGTTGAAGTACCAGGAATATTAATGACTTCTGATGTGTCTGGGTAAATGAGGACATAGGGGCCCTCATCCATATCCGAATTAAAGTCAGTCATCTTCTTGACTGCCAATCGATGCAACCCAGCTGCGTCAGTGTCAGGATCCAGAATCAGTGGAAGAGTTTTCCCTCTGACAGGTTTCATGATGTCCTTTTGAAGACACATTATTCCAATATTTATCTGTGCAAAGAAAATCAATTAGGTGTAATCAACTTGGTACATGAAACCACACAATTAACAGTGGATAGTAACTATTATTAAGTCATTATGTGCTGTAATACCTCAGATAAGTGTGCAGACCCTGTGTAGCAGAAAATGCTTAGAAAAAAACACTATACAACAATGTACATACATGCATGCATGGATGCACAAGTCACAACTTCCATAATTATTCCCTGATTGGCAAACAGACAAACAAAATAAAATACCAATAACAAAAACACTGCTAAAATCGCTATTCACTTTTATGCAATTCATAGCAGAAACGGATGTAATACATTATTTTAATTAAACGATTTCTAGAAAGTTGTCCACAGTTACAAATAATATTATTTTATAAATCCTGACTTGATTAGGCTAACAAATCCTTGTTTTTTGTGCTTTAATAACCCCTTCATAAATAAGGAAAAAAAGGATGAAGACGCTTTACCATCACTTGGATACATCACATAGGCCTGCTTATAACTTATATATTCTCAACCATGGTGATGTTTGACAAATGCGGATAACCAAGAAGATTTTACACGACTAAATACAACAACTTCTTAAACCAAACCTGCTAGTGCATCTTTTTGAACTTAGCTGACCATGACCAAGACGTTTTAGAGTTAACCACATACATGATGTAATTTTCAGACACACATTTTTCCCTTTAATCATGATTTACTAATAAAGCTGAGCTGTCCAATTGTAACACAGTAAAAGTAATGCTTTTATCACCTAAAACAGGTACCATCTATCTTGCCTAGTAAACAATATATTCCAGCACTTCCTCCCCCATATTGGCTACCTGTACTGTACTTGTCTGTTCTTTCTTCTTCACTTTTCTCTTCTGGCAAGAGAAATTAAGCCTTTCGTCTGACTTCTTACTTCTGTACTCGAGGAACGTTTTCAGGGATGGCATTTTTGGGGCAGCAGCTAACGTTACACAAACAGAGAAAAACAATGTTATGATAACCAAGCTGAACTTAGCCTGGGTTATGTTTTTTTATTCACATTATATGCGAGTGTGAGTTCAAACCTTATATCTATGGTTCAAACATGAATCACGAGACAGGCTTAAAGGTTTTACAGAGCATTGTTACACAGTTTGAGTTGATGTTTTACCTGGAATCGGGCCACTGAAGTCCTGTTCATGTTTAGCTTCTTTTAATGCAGCTAATGACTGTCCACAAGAACTGCAAAAATGTTGAAGTGACTGAAATGTCTTCCCACAACGCGGACAATACATCATTTCAGAGTCAGAAGTCGCGCAATGGGCGAAAACACGCCGAGTAAAACCGCCCGGATATTCTATACTTCCGGTCGCTGACCAATCATGAAGCGACATTTCTCTTGACTGGCAGCAAAAACAACCAATCACAGCAGTGCTTCTCTGGCTGGCTCTGTCCAATCACAAACAAGAAGTGTTCTCCCTAAAGGAATACCCTTTCCGTCCAATGTGAAATACTGTAGTGTTTTCTGAAATGCTGTAGTGTTTTCTGAAATGCTGTAGTGTTTAGTGAAATGCTGTTGTGTTTTCTGAAATGCTGTAGTGTTTAGTGAAATGCTGTAGTGTTTAGTGAAATGCTGTTGTGTTTTGTGAAATGCTGTAGTGTTTAGTGAAATGCTGTTGTGTTTTCTGAAATGCTGTAGTGTTTAGTGAAATGCTGTAGTGTTTAGTGAAATGCTGTTGTGTTTAGTGAAATGCTGTAGTGTTTAGTGAAATGCTGTAGTGTTTAGTGAAATGCTGTAGTGTTTTGTGAAATGCTGTAGTGTTTAGTGAAATGCTGTAGTGTTTAGTGAAATGCTGTAGTGTTTAGTGAAATGCTGTTGTGTTTAGTGAAATGCTGTAGTGTTTAGTGAAATGCTGTAGTGTTTAGTGAAATGCTGTTGTGTTTAGTGAAATGCTGTAGTGTTTAGTGAAATGCTGTAGTGTTTAGTGAAATGCTGTAGTGTTTAGTGAAATGCTGTAGTGTTTAGTGAAATGCTGTTGTGTTTTGTGAAATGCTGTAGTGTTTTGTGAAATGCTGTAGTGTTTAGTGAAATGCTGTAGTGTTTTCTGAAATGCTGTAGTGTTTTCTGAAATGCTGTAGTGTTTAGTGAAATGCTGTAGTGTTTAGTGAAATGCTGTAGTGTTTAGTGAAATGCTGTAGTGTTTTCTGAAATCCTGTAGTGTTTAGTGAAATCCTGTAGTGTTTAGTGAAATGCTGCAGTGTTTAGTGAAATGCTGTAGTGTTTTCTGAAATGCTGTAGTGTTTTCTGAAATGCTGTAGTGTTTAGTGAAATCCTGTAGTGTTTAGTGAAATGCTGCAGTGTTTAGTGAAATGCTGTAGTGTTTTCTGAAATGCTGTAGTGTTTTCTGAAATGCTGTAGTGTTTTCTGAAATGCTGTAGTGTTTAGTGAAATGCTGTAGTGTTTAGTGAAATGCTGTAGTGTTTAGTGAAATGCTGCAGTGTTTAGTGAAATGCTGCAGTGTTTAGTGAAATGCTGTAGTGTTTTCTGAAATGCTGTGGTGTTTTCTAAAATGCTGTAGTGTTTAGTGAAATGCTGTAGTGTTTAGTGAAATGCTGTAGTGTTTAGTGAAATGCTGCAGTGTTTTCTGAAATGCTGTAGTGTTTTGTGAAATGCTGCAGTGTTTTCTGAAATGCTGTAGTGTTTTGTGAAATGCTGTAGTGTTTTCTGAAATGCTGTGGTGTTTTCTGAAATGCTGTAGTGTTTAGTGAAATGCTGTAGTGTTTTCTGAAATGCTGTGGTGTTTTCTGAAATGCTGTAGTGTTTAGTGAAATGCTGTAGTGTTTAGTGAAATGCTGTAGTGTTTAGTGAAATGCTGTAGTGTTTAGTGAAATGCTGTAGTGTTTAGTGAAATGCTGTGGTGTTTTCTGAAATGCTGTAGTGTTTAGTGAAATGCTGTAGTGTTTAGTGAAATGCTGTGGTGTTTAGTGAAATGCTGTAGGGTTTAGTGAAATGCTGTAGTGTTTAGTGAAATGCTGTAGTGTTTAGTGAAATGCTGTAGGGTTTAGTGAAACTGCTGTAGTGTTTAGTGAAATGCTGTAGTGTTTTCTGAAATGCTGTTGTGTTTTCTGAAATGCTGTAGTGTTTTCTGAAATGCTGCAGTGTTTAGTGAAATGCTGTAGTGTTTAGTGAAATGCTGTAGTGTTTAGTGAAATGCTGTAGTGTTTAGTGAAATGCTGTAGTGTTTTGTGAAATGCTGTTGTGTTTTCTGAAATGCTGTAGTGTTTAGTGAAATGCTGTAGTGTTTTGTGAAATGCTGTAGTGTTTAGTGAAATGCTGTTGTGTTTTCTGAAATGCTGTGGTGTTTTCTGAAATGCTGTAGTGTTTAGTGAAATGCTGTAGTGTTTTGTGAAATGCTGTAGTGTTTAGTGAAATGCTGTTGTGTTTAGTGAAATGCTGTAGTGTTTAGTGAAATGCTGTCGTGTTTTCTGAAATGCTGTAGTGTTTTCTGAAATGCTGTAGTGTTTTGTGAAATGCTGTAGTGTTTTGTAGTGTTTTGTGAAATGCTGCAGTGTTTTCTGAAATGCTGTAGTGTTTTGTGAAATGCTGTAGTGTTTTCTGAAATGCTGTGGTGTTTTCTGAAATGCTGTAGTGTTTAGTGAAATGCTGTAGTGTTTTCTGAAATGCTGTGGTGTTTTGTGAAATGCTGTAGTGTTTTGTGAAATGCTGTAGTGTTTAGTGAAATGCTGTAGTGTTTTCTGAAATGCTGTAGTGTTTAGTGAAATGCTGTAGTGTTTTCTGAAATGCTGTAGTGTTTTGTGAAATGCTGTAGTGTTTTGTAGTGTTTTGTGAAATGCTGCAGTGTTTTCTGAAATGCTGTAGTGTTTTGTGAAATGCTGTAGTGTTTTCTGAAATGCTGTGGTGTTTTCTGAAATGCTGTAGTGTTTTGTGAAATGCTGTAGTGTTTTCTGAAATGCTGTAGTGTTTAGTGAAATGCTGTAGTGTTTAGTGAAATGCTGTAGTGTTTAGTGAAATGCTGTAGTGTTTAGTGAAATGCTGTAGTGTTTTCTGAAATGCTGTGGTGTTTAGTGAAATACTGTAGTGTTTAGTGAAATGCTGTAGTGTTTTCTGAAATGCTGTAGTGTTTTCTGAAATGCTGTGGTGTTTTCTGAAATGCTGTAGTGTTTTCTGAAATGCTGTAGTGTTTAGTGAAATGCTGCAGTGTTTTCTGAAATGCTGTAGTGTTTTCTGAAATGCTGTAGTGTTTTCTGAAATGCTGTAGTGTTTTCTGAAATGCTGTGGTGTTTTCTGAAATGCTGTAGTGTTTTGTGAAATGCTGCAGTGTTTTCTGAAATGCTGTGGTGTTTTCTGAAATGCTGTAGTGTTTAGTGAAATGCTGTAGTGTTTTCTGAAATGCTGTGGTGTTTTGTGAAATGCTGTAGTGTTTTCTGAAATGCTGTAGTGTTTTGTAGTGTTTTGTGAAATGCTGCAGTGTTTTCTGAAATGCTGTGGTGTTTTCTGAAATGCTGTGGTGTTTTCTGAAATGCTGTAGTGTTTAGTGAAATGCTGTAGTGTTTTCTGAAATGCTGTAGTGTTTTGTGAAATGCTGTGGTGTTTTCTGAAATGCTGTAGTGTTTTGTGAAATGCTGTAGTGTTTAGTGAAATGCTGTAGTGTTTTCTGAAATGCTGTAGTGTTTAGTGAAATGCTGTAGTGTTTTCTGAAATGCTGTAGTGTTTTGTGAAATGCTGTAGTGTTTTGCAGTGTTTTGTGAAATGCTGCAGTGTTTTCTGAAATGCTGTAGTGTTTTGTGAAATGCTGTAGTGTTTTCTGAAATGCTGTGGTGTTTTCTGAAGTGCTGTAGTGTTTTGTGAAATGCTGTAGTGTTTTCTGAAATGCTGTAGTGTTTAGTGAAATGCTGTAGTGTTTAGTGAAATGCTGCAGTGTTTTCTGAAATGCTGTAGTGTTTTCTGAAATGCTGTGGTGTTTTGTGAAATGCTGTGGTGTTTTGTGAAATGCTGCAGTGTTTTCTGAAATGCTGTAGTGTTTAGTGAAATGCTGTAGTGTTTTGTGAAATGCTGCAGTGTTTTCTGAAATGCTGTAGTGTTTTGTGAAATGCTGTAGTGTTTAGTGAAATGCTGTAGTGTTTAGTGAAATGCTGTAGTGTTTAGTGAAATGCTGCAGTGTTTTCTGAAATGCTGTGGTGTTTTGTGAAATGCTGCAGTGTTTTCTGAAATGCTGTAGTGTTTAGTGAAATGCTGTAGTGTTTAGTGAAATGCTGTAGCGTTTTCTGAAATGCTGCAGTGTTTTCTGAAATGCTGTAGTGTTTTGTGAAATGCTGTAGTGTTTTGTAGTGTTTTGTGAAATGCTGCAGTGTTTTGTGAAATGCTGCAGTGTTTTCTGAAATGCTGTAGTGTTTAGTGAAATGCTGTGGTGTTTTCTGAAATGCGGCAGTGTTTTCTGAAATGCTGTAGTGTTTAGTGAAATGCTGTAGTGTTTTGTGAAATGCTGCAGTGTTTTCTGAAATGCTGTAGTGTTTTCTGAAATGCTGTGGTGTTTTCTGAAATGCTGCAGTGTTTTCTGAAATGCTGTAGTGTTTTGTGAAATGCTGCAGTGTTTTCTGAAATGCTGCAGTGTTTTCTGAAATGCTGTAGTGTTTTGTGAAATGCTGTAGTGTTTTGTGAAATGCTGCGGTGTTTTGTGAAATGCTGCGGTGTTTTCTGAAATGCTGTGGTGTTTAGTGAAATGCTGTGGTGTTTAGTGAAATGCTGTAGTGTTTAGTGAAATGCTGTAGTGTTTAGTGAAATGCTGTAGTGTTTTCTGAAATGCTGTAGTGTTTTCTGAAATGCTGCAGTGTTTTCTGAAATGCTGTAGTGTTTTCTGAAATGCTGCAGTGTTTTCTGAAATGCTGTAGTGTTTTGTAGTGTTTAGTGAAATGCTGTAGTGTTTAGTGAAATGCTGCAGTGTTTTGTGAAATGCTGTAGTGTTTTGTGAAATGCTG